AGAATTCTTCCTCTCCTTTGTATTAATCAAATGTAAGGAAAGGAGAATGCCATTTATCAACATTTGATACCTAAACACTGTAAAGCAGAGGCCAAATCCAGCCAGCTCTCTGATTTTATTAATAAAATTAATTTTCTTAGAATACAATCATGGCTATTTATTTATTTTCTATGACTGCTTTTACACTACTACAGCAGAGCTGAGCAGATGTAACAGAGACCATAAAGCCCATTAAAACTAAAATATTCAGTCTGGTCCTTCACAGAAAACGCTTGCTCATTCCTGCTTGACATAACATCCAAAGCGCTCAAATCTCATCTTGCTACCCCACTGCTCAAAATTCTTCAATGAATCCTGGAAGTAAACAGTGCTGGTTCCCTACCCAGTAGCCATTCCTTATTTTTCTTTCTTGCTGGAGAACCACAATTCGGTTTAGATATGTACCATCCCAAGTACCCAAAGAACGTGGTCTCTTCCCAGCTCAAAATAGAGAAAACTATTTTTCTAAACCAATCACAGTAATTACACATCCTTTATCAGTTGTTGGCTTAGGAATGAGCATGTGAGGGAACCCAGCCAATAAAATATTAATGGATGTCTGAAGCAAGTTTCTGAGTTTGCTCCCTATTTTAAAGAAAAGCAGCCCTTCCAGTCTTTGGATATTGTCATGTGAGAACAGGATGCTTGGAGGTGACTATGAAAGGAGACATAAACAAAACACTAATAGCAGCACAGCTCAAAATGGGAAAACACCTAGACCTTAATGACAATTCTGAGCCACCAAAATAACTCTGGTTTCTATTGTTTTAGCCACTGGTGGCATGGTGCTTAAGACATCTGACTGCTAACCAGAAGTCTGACAGTCAAACCCACCAGCTACTCCTCAGAAGGAAGACTGGGCGATCTACATCCATAGTGATACCGCCTGGGAAACCCAAGAAGGGGTCGCTATGAGTCAGATCTGACTAAGACAAAAATGAGTTTGTTTTTTGGTTTTTTTAGTTAAGCTGGAATTGACTGGATGATAATGGATTGGGTTGAGTTAAGTCATCTATTATTTGCAGTCAAAAGCATTCTAACTGGTAAAGTTCCAAAGGAGCTCTGGTAGCATAGTGCCTAAGGCACTTGACTGCTAACCAGAAAGCTGGCAGTTCAAACCCACCAGCCACTCCTCGGAAGGAAGGTTGGGCAATCTATTTCCGTAGTGATACTGCCTCGGACCCAAGGAGGGGTCGCTATGAATCAGGTCTGACTCGAAGGCACATAACAACAACAACAGGAAGATCTAATAGGCCATTTCTATGGTATTAAACAGCTTTTCATTAGCTTGCCTTAGCTACGTATTCACCTCATTCCCTACTACTCCCACATCACACTTTGTACCAACAAACCGAACACAATTCCTGCAAAGTCCACTCATGTATCTTAACCTTTATACTTGTTGTTCCTTGTGCCAAGCATGTAATCTTGTTAGCTGTTCCTTTCTGCTAAACATCATCTTCTGCCTCTTCACCTAGCCAACTTCAACTCACTCCATACGCCTGCCTTAAATTCCACCCACATTTCTAAAGCTAATTGCTTGAAATGGGTCTAAGCCATATTAAACACCAAATATATTATAATAAATAAATAATGATTATTATAAACCCCTAAGGGGTATCAGGCACATAGTGAGCACTGAAAGAAAGTAGAATAAATAATAAAGGTAACAAGGAGAGCAACAAGCAGCTAGAGGGCAGGGCCTGTGCTTTTAAAGTGTCTGTATTCCAAAATCCCAGAATAATGCTTAGTACCTAAGACCCTACATACTTAAGTGAACACAAAGGTATCATACGGGGATTCAGGAGCCATGATTAAATAAATGAATTTCATTTGGGACAATACTGTTTTAAAATATACATTGCCTAAAATGAACTTCTTCAATAATTCTAGGTTTTAGACAATTAAAAGAAAATATATATGCAATTTACACATGGACTTTAAGAACTGCTCTTTCTTTACCAAAATTTTGTTACTCTTACTTTCTTTATCTATGGTAGGAACACCAAGAATAATGGCACCTTCTCAGCAGTCTTACCTGGATTATTCTGAGAAGAATTCTTAGGTTTCTTTTCTTTTTTACACTCAGAAATTAGTTGGTGAATGCTGTGTATATAAAATGAGATAAATACTACTATTTTAATATTGATAAGAGTAACATTTACCAAAAATATTGCATAATCTTAGAGTATTTCATACAATACCACCACTAACTCAGAACTTTATCCCCTACACTTCAAAGTTGTAACCACTACAAACTTTTTATTAGGCATTTAATTTAATTTAAAGAAAAAAAAGCTCCTGTTTTGAGGGCAGTACAGCTCAGTAAATTGAGTTAGCATGATATAATGGAAAGTATCCTGAACTCAGAAAAAGCTCCAGCTGCGTCACAAACCACTTGGATGGTTCTTGGATATGTCACTTATTGCCCTCTTTCATAAGCTGTTATGAAGATTTATTGAGTTATTATTTTAAAAAATGCTCAGAGATATAGTGAATAGGGAACAATTTCTTCTTGAACTTCATTGGTGAAAGTATTTTGGATTCATTCCCACATAAACACACTGTGTTTATGCATATTTTTTTCATAGGCTCTATATTCAACAGTTGCATTTTTAAGAAAATGTTACTAAATCCTAATTTTGGTTATTACTTGCTGTTCTATTTTTTTAGTTTAGTAATTTCAAAACATCTCAGAAATTTTATATAATTTGTAACTAAATCTATTTATAGTATAAATGTATTACTTCAGTAAGTAGTTACCAGAATTGCCCACTATTATCACAGCTGATTACACCAAGGGCAGAACATTAATAAAGGTCAAAACCTAGCTTGGATTACTATTCTTTCACTACCTACTCTAACTTTGAGCTGTGTTGTTGTTGTTATGTGCCGTCGAGTCGGACCCGACTCATAGCGACCCCTCCTTGGGTTTCCAAAGCAGTATCACTAAGAAAGTAGATTGCCCCATTTTCCTTCTGAGGAATGGCTGGTGGGTTTGAACCGCCAGCCTTCTGGGTAGCAGTCAAGTGCCTTCGGCATTACGCTACCAGAGCTCCCAACTCTGAACTAGCAAATCTTTATCAGAATGATGCTTAATCACCAATCCATCCCCCACTAACTTGGAAGATAAACCCTTTTTATATATGAATACCATAAAATCATGAATGGGACTTAGCTCTTTTAGGTCTAACTAACCTAATTTAGATTCAGAGAATTCTACAGAATGGCTGTGCTGATTTGTGTCTCAGAACTTAAAAAACTATGCCAGCCTCTCTGAAAATGAGAGACAGATGTCACCTAGGAGATTTTTATTTAGGGAAAACAGAACACTTGATAGGCCAACCTTAATGATGAAATATAAGGCAAGTGGGCACCTACTACTCTGGAGATAGGCAATGTGGGACCTTTCCACCTGGGAAAAAAAAAAAAAAAGGTATTCCAAAGGATATAAAGAGGATTTGGGATACATATCTGGTTAGCAAAGAAATTCTGATCTTTTCTTGAAACATTATTTGAACCTCTTGACAGCTTAGAATGGTCCTTACTAACAACTGCTGGGAAAAAGACAAACGTAGGCCTCAAAGGGTAATTCAAGATGAAGATCTGGGCTAACGTGGGCTCCAGACAAGCATTTGCACGTGAAGGAAAGGATCAGTTTGCTCAGTATGTGTGTGACAAAAGCTACTAAGCCCAGCTACCACAGTAGGATGCTGGTGCTTTGGGAACAATGGCTGAACATATAAGCATATGGGAACTAAGAGGAAAAAAAAAAAAAAAAAAACCTGCAACTTTGACATCTAATTGTGGGTTATCACTGAAGACTGTGAGGGAGCTAAATTAGCAACAGCATCCTTGTAACCAAAGGTTGATCATGACTAGACTGCAGGGCAGGTTTCAATAGCAATGTCACAACAAGAAAAGCAACAGAAACAAAAGAATGATTAGAATGTTCCACTCACCACCCTCATCTGACTTGTGAAAAGGATTATCCCTTTTGGATTTAGCAAATTCTCACAAGTTCTTGCTAAATTCATGGGGAGCTTATAGGAGAGTCCCCAGGGTAAATACAGTATTTTCTGCTAACCCAGACATTTCAAGAATCACAGAATTCATAAGAAAAACCAGAGATGTGAGTGACTCTATTGAACTAAATACATAGGGTTACATTTTGGATGAAATCGATGATGTTAGGAGCCCTAATGTTAAAGGTCTCAAAAATTCTAACACTCACTTCTTCCCATTAAGAATCTTGCATCAACTGCTACTTCCAGATAGTCTAGCCTTATATAGGACTTTGCCTGTTACTTGATTTCTGGCTACTGATGTGGAATACTGATTGCCCTTCCAAGACTACCTGAACCAAAGAATGACTCACCATCACTGTTGTATAAGTAGTAATAGTTGTAATTTTAAACCTCACAGTTCAGTAATAAAGGTGCTCTACACTCCTCGGAGGGAAGGTTGGGCAATCCACTTCTGTAGTGATACTGCCTCGGAAACCCAAGGAGGGGTCACTATGAGTCAGGTCCGACTCGACAGCACATAACAACAACAACAGTAGCAAACGGGGTAAAGGCATTTGGCTGCTAACCAAAAAGTCAGCAGTTCAAAGCAACCAGCTACTCTACAGGAGGAAAACAAAGCAATCTATTTTTGTAAAGACAAAAAGCTTTGGAAACCCAATGGGGGTTGCTATGAGTCAGAATCGATTTGACAGCAGTGGGGTTTTTTTGCGTTTAGTAGTAACTACCTTTTTTTTTTTTTTCTTTGCACCACTTGTCTGTCAGTCTGTCATACTGTGGTGGCCAGCATGTCGCCATGAGGCTGGGGGCTAAGCCACCAATATTTCAAATACCTGCAGTGTCACTCATGGTGGACAGGTTTCAGTGGAGCTTCCACACTAAGACAGACTGGGAAGAAGGATGGGGCAGCAATCCACTTCTGAAAAAATTGGCCAGTGAAAACATTATGAATAGCAGTGAAATACTGTCTGATACATTACTGGAAAAGTTTGTAAATAGCCATGAAACGCTGTCTGATACGGTGTCAGAAGATGAGCACCTCAGATTGGAAGGCACCCAGAATATACTGGGGAAGAGCTGCCTCCTCAAAGTAGGGTCAACCTAACTGACAAAGATAATTCCTTTTGGACTTAGCAAATCCCCAAAAGTTCTTGGTAAATTCATCTTGGTAAATGTATGTCCTTTTGGGAGGTACATTTGTTGATGCGGCACAACTCAAAAATAGGAAGAAACAGCTGCAAACATCCATTAATCATTGGAACATGGAATGTATGAAGTATGAAACTAAGAAAATTGAGAGTTGTCAAAAATGAAATGTAATGCATAAAGATTGCCATCCTAGGCATTAGTGAGCTGAAATGGACTGGTTTGGGCCATTCTGAATCAGAAAATCATATGGTCTACTATGCTGGGAATGACAAATTGAAGAAAAATGCCGGCAACACATTCATCATCAAAAAGAATGTTTCAAGATCTATCCTGAAGTACAATGCTATCAGTGATAGGATAATATCCATGTGCCTACAAGAAACACCAGTTAATAATATTATTCAAATTTACGCACCAATCACTAAAGCCAAAGATGAAGAAATTGAACATTTTTACCAACTTCTGCATTCTGAAATTCATCAAACATACAATCAAGTTGTATTGATCATTACTGGTGATTGGAATGGGAAAGCTGGAAACAAAGAAGAATCATTGGTAGTTGGAAAATATGACCTGGTGATACAAATGACACCAGAGATCTCATGATAGACAGAATTTTGCAAGACTAATAATTTTTTAATTGAAAATACCTTTTTTCTATTGGTTTAATGACAGATACATAGACCAATGGAATAGAATTGAGAACCCAGAAATAGGTCCATAGACCTATAGTCAGCTGATCTTTGACAAAGGCCCAAAATCCATTAAATGGGGAAGAGAATGTTTGTTTAATAAAAGGTGCTGGCAAAACT